ATGCCAACTTCCGAAACTAAAATATAAGCCCGATAATAACAAAGTCAACTCTCGATGAAACCTCTCAACTCTCGAAACTTCAACTTTTTCAACTTTCGCAATTCAAACCGAAATCATCTACGGACCTCCAAATCAATATCTAGCCACATTCTTAAGTCCAAAATCACAATAAGGAGCTATCGGAACCATCAAAACTTTCTTCCGGAGTCATTTACACATAAATCAACATCCGATCGACTCCTTCAACTTAGGCTTCCAACCTTAGGACTAAGTATCCCAACTCATTCCGAAACATCCCTGGAACTATACTAATCACACCGACAAGTCACATAAGAACAAGTGAGCATAGAATAAGCAATAAATGGGGGAACAAGGCTACAATATACAAAACAATCGGCTGGGTTGTTACAAATTTTAGTAGCTTATTTTTTTAAAAATGTGGAAAATCAGAAAAATAAAAAAATACAAAAATAGAAAACATTCCTGACGATGTATCTCCTAGACAGTTTACTTGAGGTATTAAAGTCTAGAAAATTTTGGAAATTAGAAAAACACAAAAACTTGTCTTTTTTTATATGGTAATAATCCCCTGTAATTTTTCTTTGTGCCTCGGTTATTTTCCATGGGATGTAGTTTGTACCGGATAGTAGATTTTTTTAGAGTGGGACTTAGAAAATAATTGGAGGAGAAAGATGAACCAAGGTGCCTTTGAATTGTTTGATAGTAACATATTTAGACTTTGGCATGCGTAGTATCTTCCTTATGTTTTAAAACTTTCCATGATGCGTTGTTTATCTGGATAGCATGTTATTGACGCCTATGTCTCGTTCTCTTGGTTTATGGTCACTTTGTGCTTAATGCTTAATATCTCATGGCTCCGTGAATATTTTCTTTGATTTGAGAGTCGGAATGGGACTATCCTTAGTGAGACATGTAAAATGTGTGGTGAGAGTTTTGTGTAATCCATGTCATTATAATTGAGTCTACAACTTTACCGGTATGTGAGTTAAAGCAAAAATTTAGGTGACGCTCGGTGTGAAAAATGATTTTAGCCTTTTTTTTTAATCTTTTTGAGCTTATTGCTTACCATAAATAAAATTTATCCCTAGTTAATCCTTTTGAGCGTATAGACTTTTATTTGACACCCACATTACAAGAATATACCCTTTTTGTTTTTAATTGACCTCTTTTTAAATCATTTTACCTCTTAAAACACTTTAATTGTGAAATGAGCGCTAAAAAAAGTAAGAAGGAACTAAGTGTGTGGTGGTTTTTGGTGGAGCCAATGAAAGGAAGAAAGGTAAACTTATTTTTGTAAAAGAATATGCCACTAGTGGAAATTGCAAAAGAGAAAAAAATAGTCGAAAAAAAATGTAGATGAATAAATATCTTATTTTTGCTGGTGAAATGTAAATGACGATAGTGCTTCAAGAAAAAGAAAATATTTTTGGGGGTGATATTATTTGTGAAGTTGAAGTTGGATTGAGGAATTATGCATTTTAAGTTGATTATGCGATGTGTTAAACTACTTAGGAGGGTGAACCACTATTCCTAAATATATCCAACATGTCCCTTAGCCCACTTACAACCATGAAAAGTCCTAATTGATTTTAGATCGAGTGAGCCTACATTAGTAGATTTATATTATGGGCAAGCCTATAGTACCAATTGCTTGCATATGACTTCTTTGTGAGAGAGAGATTTTTTTTGACATATGTGAGTCCTTAAGGTACATTTGATCATGAGATTTGAGTGTGGATTCAACTTATTCTCTTGTTCTTGTTGTGAGGGAACATAATTTTCATAAGGGATAGGTGAAGTTATTAGGTTTCTCTATGATATTAGGTGTTCAAGCCATGAGTACATTTTGACATTGAGTCAGTTTTTGAGGCTAGAATTGTTATGAGCACATTGACTTTGTTGTAAATATCTTTGAAGAATGACATAAGTAAAGGAAAGTGTAAGTGATTGCATATTCTGCCATTTAATTATTGCTATTAACCATGGTCATTGGTAGAGTGTATATTAAAATAATGAATTGCTCCTCCACTGTTGATATGTATGTTGTTGGGGTGTAGTTTAGAGTTCCATTGCTCGAGGGCGAACAAGCGTTTAAGTATGGGATGTTGATATCCGGCTTAAAGTATGTATATTTATATGCATATTGTCTGCATTTTACTCATGTTTTGTAGATTTAGGATGTGTAATGTAATAATTTGTGCTAATTCATGAAATTTTTATGTGTAGGAGTCATCCAGAGGAAATGTGGGACGAAAGTATACGATTTGAAGAAAAAAGGAAACAAAAGGAAAAAAGTGAACAGTGTAGCGCCCAGGCTAGCGTGGGGCGCTACCTGTGGCCCAACTTCCACAAGCAAGTTTTTTTCCAAAGCCTGGCTAGCGCCCCATGCTACCTTGAGCGCTGGGTGATGGGAAATTGTCCTATTTCTCCCGGAACAAGATTATTTCGACCCAAGATACCCCCAACTAGTATAAAAATAAATCTAAACCTATTTTGGAGGGGATGACGTTTTTAAGAGTAACTTTTGACCAAGGGAGACCACAGAGCAGCCGTGAAGGCCGGAATTCTTCAGATTTCATCTTTCTTCCGCCAAACTTAGTAATTTTTATGTTTCTTTGTATGATTTGTTATTTGGCTACTATGTCAATGTAGATCTAACCTTCACGTTATAGGGTTGTGGTTCTTTCATGATTATTGTTATTCGAGTATTGATTTTGCTTTCTTGATTTATCGTATTGGTTTATTTACTCAATCCTACACTTAATTGTTTAATTGCTTGATCATCAATTGAATACTATCTACGAATCTAGAATTGAACTCAAAAGCGGGAATTCTAGATTGCACATAGGATTGAATAGAGCACGTTCTTGAACCCGGGCATCGGGGAACATATTCGCGATTGGGATAGACATATACCTAATTACCTTGCTTGGTTGATGTACAGGAATTATAAATGAATTCTTGTTAGTTCTAATTCCATATACATTTAGGCGTTAGGTTAGCTTGAATAGGCAAGTAAGAACTCGACAAATACTTATGGGCAAATATTAACCCTGTCAACCAATAAATTAGATGAATTAATTAGTTAATTTAACTGAAGAATACAATAGGAATGTTAGATAGCCCATAACCCTGGATCGTTTTCATTATATTGATAATATAAAAATCTAGATAATTAGGATAGTCTGATCTAGTTAATACTTGATAACAATTCCTCGTGGGTTCGACACTGTATCTTATTACTTTATTACTTGACGATCGTGTATACTTATATGTGCGTTTGGCCGCAACAAGTTCTTATTTAGATAAAATTCACGGCGCAACCAAACTATTAGGCGGCGCAACCGATTGGAGGAACACTATTAGGTCTGCCCGTTATAAGTTTCAATCTGATGCTTTTTTCTTCTTTGTTCCCTTTTATTTTTCGTCTATTATTGCCGATCCCTAAATTAATAGGGGCATTTGCATTTATATCCGTTTTTTTGGGTCACGTTTTAACTTGTGCCCGCTTTGTAAAAAAAAATTGCAAGCATACCCATTTTTTTGCGTAACTTCAGCATACGGGGCTGAAGTAGTAAAGACAATCACGCAAAACTTCAGCATTCTAGTAGACGGGCCTGAAGCAGCAAAAATTATTGAACCAAATGTGCTGAAGTTTTTGTTTGTAATTGCTGAACTTAAGCATAGTAGCTGAAGTTTTGTTCTCTATTTGCTGAAGTTTTTGTTTGTAATTGCTGAACTTAAGCATAGTAGCTGAAGTTTTGTTCTCTATTTGCTGAAGTTTTTGTTTGTAATTGCTGAACTTAAGCATAGTAGCTGAAGTTTTGTTCTCTATTTGCTGAAGTTTTTGTTTGTAATTGCTGAACTTAAGCATAGTAGCTGAAGTTTTGTTCTCTATTTGCTGAAGTTTTTGTTTGTAATTGCTGAACTTAAGCATAGTAGCTGAAGTTTTGTTCTCTATTTGCTGAAGTTTTTGTTTGTAATTGCTGAACTTAAGCATAGTAGCTGAAGTTTTGTTCTCTATTTGCTGAAGTTTTTGTTTGTAATTGCTGAACTTAAGCATAGTAGCTGAAGTTTTGTTCTCTATTTGCTGAAGTTTTTGTTTGTAATTGCTGAACTTAAGCATAGTAGCTGAAGTTTTGTTCTCTATTTGCTGAAGTTTTGTTCTCTATTTGCTGAAATTTTTTTGTCCTGGATTCATTAGTTTTTAAAAACTTTAACAGAAGATGTTGAAGTTATTTAGTTCATTTATAAAAACTTCAGCACTAAATAAGCTGAAGTTTTTTTTTCCTGGATTCATTAATTTTGTCATAAAGCTTTTTCAAAAACTTCAGCAGAAGATGCTGAAGTTATTTAGTTCATTTGTAAAAATTTCAGCACTATATAAGCTGAAGTTTTTGAAAAAGCTTTCTAACATACTAGATAAATAATCAGATTGCCAACAGTATCTAAATCATAAATTTTGGAAACAATAAACGTGAAAAGAACAAAATTATCATGAAAAGAATCACTAAGTGTGACCTTAAACTTCCCGTACGTGGAAATATTCACAAATTATTGTCTACTAACTTACGTAATTATTTATAATTTATTTTTAAATAATCTGATAAACATACTTATAGCAATCATCCCATGGACTTAAGTTTCATAGCAGCACCAACAACAGCAGAAGAAAGAAGAAGAAAACGACGGAGCAGAAGGAGGAGGAGAAAGGGGGCTGGAGTTGTTTAAAAAATGGGTACAAATTAAAACTTTTTAAAAATATAAGTATAAGTTAAATAGGAGCGACCAAATAGGACGACCCGTGCAATTTTTACAAATTAATATTCTTGAATCACAATATTAATACTCAACAACGGAAGGGTACAGACATCACCATATCACTAGCATAATTTGTTATTATTACACGTGTTACCTTCTTGTAATTTTACCCAAAACATGTTACATTAGGTATTTAATTCACTTGCGATGAAAACAAATTGAGGTAAAGGTAATCTTAACAGTTCAAAAGAGTATCAATATAATTTCAACTATTAGCAATATGCTGCCTTTCGATTTGCTAATATAATCGTCAATGGCGATATTGCTTTGAATTTATCCTGAACTATCAAGTATAAGTTTCATTTACAAAATGTCAAATGTCAAATTTACACGGGTACACTGCCTTTCCGATTTCAGCAAATACAACCAAAACTGTTGAGGAAAATTTATGCTATTAAGCACGGGCTCTGTAGGCAGCCTGGTTCGGCGTGTCCGCTCCAGAAACAAGCAGGTCACTAGCTTGACAAGGAACCTCAATTTCTGCACGCAGCATAAGTTAAAGAATAGGAATATACAGTAAATTTGATATATCTGCTGATGTCCAACTAAGGTGGTAAATTTCTTGTTGCAGCTTGTCTTCCATTCTCGGACTAGAGAAGAGTGCAGCAAAGTTGTATATACCAACTGATGCTCAACTATAGAACTAAACATAAGATTTCTTGTTGAAACTTGCTATTGATATTCAGTGCCTTGAGCAATTAATGGCCATTTGTTACAATGTGCTTGTCATTATCTTCTTCACTCTGCTGGTAGACCGACTTTCGGCGACTCACTTCACTCCTGCGGAATCTATTACGTTCAGAAAAACACTGACAATACAAAAACCAAGCACTTCTAGATAATTCAAATGACACAGTTGAGTAGTTTTACTCTTCTTCCTCCCCTCTTTTTTTTTCCTCAGGAGAAAGCCGAAAGGTACAGCCTATTAGGCATCAGCACAAAGGTTTCGCTGGAAGCCAATTTACAATTCAGAAAAACAAAAGTACATCCTTGTTCATCTTACAAGGATTTCTAAACACCCTAGTCAAGTTCAGCTTGATCTGCATAGTTTTCTTTACACCAAAAATGAAATAACAAAAGATAATTCATCTTAATTTTCTGGGTTGAGCTACTTCTATCTTCAAAACCTTCCATTTCTTTCCTTCCTTTTACTTACTTGGTTAGAAACATATTAATGTTCTTTTGTAGTTGACTATCGGAAGCAAGCTAGACAAGATCAGACTTGGCCAAAGACTAAATATCAAGGTCATACTCACAACCTACCCTCACCAAGACACCAACCAACCTAGACAAAACACCGGCCATAAGAAGTGTTCAATCGTGCTATAGCTGTACAGTCCTTCACACTTATTTTTTCAAGCTCTAATTTAGCACCAAATTTTAAAAGAACCCTATAACTATCACTTAAGCTCACATTCATTCACAGGCCCGCATAACAAAGATTTCTGCTAAATTTCCAAAAGATAACACCATTGGATTTGATAAGTTTGCAATTTAATTCTCTGGATAAAGCTACTGGTAGGATCTACAGCTAATGCAAGAACAATTGCCATTAATCCATTCTTTTTTCTTTTTTAAATTCCACAAAAAATAGAACTTCTACTCTGTGACTTGCATACCACATAGAACCAAATTTAAAATCTTGGATTAGAGAGAAAGGGAACAACATACAAGTACAATAGGAGAAACTACATTGAGAAAATGCAAAACCTGATTGACTCCTCTATTGAATCATAACGCAGAATAGCAATAATTCTGCGCTTTCTTTCTCTTCTGAATTCTCCACCACGTTTGACCACAGGCAATTGCTTAATTCCTTTGGCCTCCATTAGTTGCTTTGCAGTTGCTAGATCCGTATCAGGATAACAAGTTAGGAGTCCACAATCTTGGCCACGATAGCTTATTCCTCTTGTGCATATAGAGGACACAAGACAAGTATTTGCCTGCTAAATCATGTAACTAAAGTAAGAAAAAGCAGGAACGTGCAGGGAGTGAACTCCCCGGGGCAAAGACGGGAAAGAGAAAACAAAAGAACTGAACATTAAAAGACATTTGGCATGATGGCAATCTAAAGCGCATACATCCGTGACTGATAAATCACTGTTAGAAGAATCCCCATGGCTCTTAAACAAACTTCTTTTGACGTCAGCATATGTTAGAATTCCTTCCAAATAACCTTCAGCACCAACCACAATAACGCAACTCTGTTGGCCGTCATGCATGCACTCTAAAGCTTCTTTCACATTTTGGCTCGGAGAGACCTTCAAATAATCATTTGACATGGCCTGAGAAACCTAATAGAAGGAAATACACATTAGAAACTTGACGTACCTAAATCATACAACAAGTATTCAAAAGAAAACGAGGCAGTGTTTGGTTAAAAAAAATCAATAAGAAAATGAAACATGAGTATAAGATCCATTAAAACACAAACTTTTCCACATTCTTAGATGCCGAAAGCAAAGATAGTACCTTTAGATCTTCCAGAATGAGACCTTCATCAAATGATTCACGACTATTATGACTCCCAATCACCAATAGTTCCAAGTCATTTCCCTCACCAGATTTCCTCGGAACATTCCCTTCATTTTTCTCAACTGGTGAAAGAATTGAGTATCCTTTTGATGCAAACTTCGCTTCTGATACATCCGTTTCCTTTGGCTGGTCTGTAACAGAAGGCACCCATATTGCCAGTCCAACAGCACCCTAGTGAAGAAAATTTAAAACACTTGCATGATTAAAAGGTGCAAGTGTTACCCCACATATCATTATGGCATTGAAAATTCAACCAACAATAACAAAGTTTATCCATGCGATTGTACAAAGATAACTGAGATCCACTAACTAGCAAACCATACGGTCAGGCATTAATACTACAATCTGAAAAAACTATAGCTTTACGTGGAAATAACCCTAATTTACTTTACAACCACATAAGCAAAAAAAATTCGATCTTCCAAGTTCAATCATCTTCAACCCCACCCCCACCCCCACCCCCCCAAAAAAAATTGCTAGGAAGGCAATGCAGTATTCTATCAAAAATCTCTGAATCTGTATGGGGAAAATACACATGGTTATTGCAACCAGCATTTTTGTTACTTAAAATAAATAAATAAATGTGTCTCTCTAACTTAAGCTTCTAGATGGGGCAGTCAAACAATTCCACATGCTACAAGAGCAGGTAGAAGTAACAGTTGACTCCATTCCAGATGTTTATCAATGCCATTCTTCATATACCTCAGCTCAGAGAAGCTGATCCTCTCCTTCTTCACCTAGTGGCTAATGCAAAGTCCAGGTGTGTTTAGTCTACTTCTTCATGCAAGTGATCTGGAATGAATAAATGAATGTGTCCCAACTCTAACAGCTTAAGCTATTAGATGAGGTGGCAAACAAATCAGCAAGCTTTTTATTAGTAAGTTATGTTATACTGTCGTTTCTAGAAGTGTTAACATGCAGAGATATGTTCCTGTTCTATAATTGAGTGATGCGAGTGATGCGAGCATGAGTTTGCCTGTCCAAACTAAGATTTCAACCATACTTATTCACGGTTCTTCCGATTGGAGCTCAAGGAATCTTCCTAGTGGATTTAATTACTAGGACGCAAGTAACCAACAAGCCTTGTAATAGCAAACAACTAAGATTTTGCAGAACTCTGGTCGTTGGTTGGCTGGTAAAAGAGGTACTCCCTCCGTCTCAATATATGTGTCTTAGTTTGACTGGGCACGGAGTTTAAGAAGTAAGGAAGACATTTAAATCTTGTGGTCTTAAACTAAAGATTGTGTAATGCACCAAAATGCTCTTGAATCTTGTGGTTATAAATATGTCATGTGGAAAGTTGGGGTTGAAGAGTTACTAAATATAGAAAGAGACGTTCTTTTTGAACCAGACTAAAAAGGAAAAGTAAGGCACAGAACTTGAAACAGAGGGAGTAGTTAAATCCTTAAGTAAAACTTTTCCATTTCGGTGTTCTATCTTTCAGTTGAACTGAATTAGAATAATTCCATCAGATATCTAGACCCTTTACTAATGAAATCAAGAGACGTAATGAATCATTTATTGTTTTATATATTAAGCACTCTACATTTTCAGCTTAATATTTGGTATTTCTGCTGAAGATTGGACTAGACTTCAATACAAGGTCTTCAGATGAGATCAACACCAACAACAACAACATACCCAGTATAATCTTACATAGTGGGATCCGGAGAGGCTAGTGTGAGGCAGACCTTACCCCTACCTTCAGATGAGATCAATCTTTACTAAATCAAATCAACGAGATAAGTTAAACAAAATATTTGTTAATTTATTTATTTGTAGGAAACTCAGTATTTTAGCTCTATCTTTCCTAGATATGGTGGCAACTTTACTCAAGATTGGGCTGGACTTCAATAAATAAATGCTTTTTGTTTCCCGATCGTAATAATGAACAGACATTTCCCCATTCGACTTCGATGGGTCCACAAGATACCAGATAACCTAGAGTATTAGGAGAACTAACACGTCTGGAAACTAGGAGAGCAAGTTAGATTTATCTCATACAATTTTGTAACTCAGTTAGAAAGCATTCTAGATCTAATTTTACATAGATCGTGTCCGATCCTTTATTGTATAAATCCGGGTGTTCTATAGGATTCCATTAACTCCTAGTTGTCAAATATACAAGTCATATTTTTATATGTGAAAGTCCTATAACGGTTAAGTCTTACTATAGTACAATAATGTGTTTAAATCCCAGCAGAGAAAACATTAGGTGATTTCTTCCTCTCTGCTAAGCCTTGGTAGGCTACCTATGCTGGTGGGAGATAGCAAGTACATGCTGGAATATTCGCGATGCTTGCAAGCTGACTCGGACACACACGGACACAAATATATATATACATACAATGTAATATTACATTATTATGTGATGTAATGTAATGTAATATAAGAGAATTAGGCTCCTAACTACAGAATACTCTCCTCCTAATTATAGAATGCTCTCCTACTTTCTAGCCCTCTGACTTCTCATATGTAGAGTGGACAACAGTCCAACGTGTCAGGATCATTTGTCAACCCCTCCCCAGAGTGATTTCAACCAAGATTTAAGCAAACTACTTGATCTTATTTCACCCAAAAATTTCTAATTTAGTCTCTTCCAGCAGAATATTCGAATAAGGGCCAAACGATACACACAATCCAAATTTGGAGGTCAAACACACACTAAGAGCTCAAATTCAATGCAACAAAGTTAAAATTTAGTACAAACAAACAGCCATACTGCCACAAAGTTAAAACTCAGATACATAAATAATGATTCCCTAAGATATAACTTGTAAAGGCAAATCAGACATCCATGAAAGTCAAGAAACCTTGATTTCAGGATGAAAGAAACTCAGAAGTAACTCATACGTAATAAAAGTACATTTCCTCCATAACCTAGTATGACAGCCATCCATCAGAAAGAAGACTTGGGTTAGTAGAAACTAGAAAGTAAGAAAGATTATGTGACAGACTTAAGTTACTCAGAAGATAGGAGATTATGGACATAGCTAGGTGTTTAAGCAAGTGAAACAGCTTTTAGTAACACACATGAAAACAAGTAGAGCTAGTGAATCTTTGTTCAGCAAGACTAACCATGAGAGGAAGCAAAATTCTATAATCTTTTGTCAACTCAAACAATAAGAGCACTGAAGTCAAAGGCACTGAGCAAACGGAAGCTAGTGTAGCAGCCATTCCCACCTACATTGTTTAAATTTATCCATTAGAAAAGTTTACTTCCTAAACTGCAATGAAGTGTAATAAAATAATTGTTGGGAGAAAGTAATATGGAAAAAGTATATCATCTGACCAGTGCATATGCCTGTGGCTGAGCAATAGCAGCATTCCCTGGAATAGCTGAATTTATAAGTTCCCCAGCTAGCCCTCCAAATACAGCACCTACAGCAGCACCTATCATTAAACTTGGTGCATACAATCCACCAACAAGGCCAGACCCTTTGCACAAAGCAGTGGCCACGACTTTAGCAGCAACTAATTGGGCTAGCAATCCGATTCCAGGTGCAGATGCAGTCTTCCCAGTATGAAGGATTTCATCAACATTAGTGAAACCCCAATAGAGAATTCCAGGATATCTAAGAGCTATTACACCAGCTCCTAAACCCCCCAAGGCAGGGCAGACAACATCAGAAAGTCCAAATTTTTCCTTGAGGAACTGAAACCCCTTGGTGAACCAGGACACCAATCGAGTGAAAGCCACACTTACCACTCCACACAGCATCCCCAGTATCAGATACAATGGAAGCTCTACAAAAGGAAGATTCTTAAGCATTCAGAAAGAAATCTATATTGAATAGAATGACAATCAAGACAGAGCTTATGCATGTAAAAGCATGAAGTAACATGATAACCAGTTATCTACAACAGTCATCACTTTATCCACTCCCTTTCTAAAAATCTATCATACAGGAAATGACTACAGCCCACTTTTACACAATCGAAAGTCCGAGATACTGAAAGAGGTTAATCGTTAAGCATAATCATAGTACGTGTCAGTGTTGTAAATATCGCTCGCCTCAGCGCTAATAGCATGAGGCGATGAGATGCGAGCCTCCAGCGCTATTTGCCTCTTGCATGGCGATTTCAAAAAGGCGAGCGCCTCTGCCTGTGTAGCGAGAGGCACTGTGTCGCGAGAAACGCCCTGTAGCATCGCTTTTTGAAAAAACGAAAAGAAAATGGCAGCAGACCAGCGATTAAAGAAAAAATTTAGGGCTTCAGCAATTTCTTCTTCTTTCTCCTTCAAGTCGACCCAGTCACATCAACGATTCTTCTTTCTTCTTCAAGCTTCTTCATCAGGTATGCTTCTCTTCATATCTTTTCTTCTTTCTTCTCCCTTCTTCTTCTTCGAGTTTCTGCCCTTTTTTTTCTTTCTTCTTTCTTGTTTCTCCTTTCTTTCTTTCTTCCTTTTTCTTCTTCTTCTCTTCTTTTTCTTTTTTGCTCTGTTGTTTTGGATCGAGCAGCAGAGAGCTTTTTCTTTCTTTCATTATTTCTTCCTTCCTTCCTTCCCTTTTCTTCTTCTCTTTTTTTTTTTTTTTTTTTTTTTTTTTTTTTTTTTTTTTTGGCTCTATTTTCTCCTTCACGGGCAGAGGCAGAGAGCTTCTTCAAACCTGAGTTTTTAATTGATATATTTTTGAATTGATATATTTATTAATATATTATTGTTATTGAGTATGTGTGTGTGTGTATATATATAATTTAATATTTTTATAATTTAATATTTTATTTTTTTATATAAATTGTCGCTTCACATCAAAAAGGCGAGCACTTCGCTTCTCGCCTCAGTGAAGCGGGCCCTCATCGCTATTTGTCGCCTCACGCTATTCAAAACATTGGTACGTGCTAAAAACTTGAATAGCACACTGACTCCAAGTTACGAGCTAACTAATGTGTGCCTATGCGTGGAAAAATAAGAACACGTCACTGTTTTCCTTGTTACCATCAAAAGCGCAGTATATTCACATGTTACAATAGGCATATAGAAGCGAAGAAAAGAGTGTTTGATGTTATGTCTGAAAGACAGTATGTAAGTATGAACAGATAATACCAACAGTAAACATTCTCAGGAGAAATGGTAAAAATAGAGCAGAAATGCAACTCCCAGTTCCCTGATTAAAAAAATTTCCATCCAACAATGCAACATGAACAGCAACTGTGTGCAGCGAAATTGTGAAAGAGCAAATATCCATGGCAATTGGTACAAGCGCAGATACACCATAAATAAAGAGAACAGCAGCCACGGAAATACCGAAGCACTGATGTAGCAATGTTTTAGCCATGATAAAATAAACCAGAATTAGATCAAATACCAGCAGCAGATTTCATATCATACGTGGGCACTGTGAAAGCCTGTTTCTCTCCAAGTACTGCATTTGATACAGTTGATGATATAACAGAAGCCAATATGATCATTGCAGTTGTAAATGGGGGTGAATTTTCTGCACGGAGTGGTCTTAAAACTGTTTCAATCGCAAAGAAAGAACCCGCTACCGCTGCATTGAAACCTGTAGTACAAGAAACTTAAACCTGAAGATCCATCCACCAGCTGAGGCAAGCTCCGGCAAGGCACAAAGCTCCACAATTCACACAGACAATTATACTGTCCCATACATACACATATCAAGAAGTACACTAAGGAGGAATATGTATGTGGCATATCGACAAACATAATAAGCAAGTATATCTCCTTACAATTACAAACAGCCTTTGGGAACACAGAAGTCATATTAGCTTGCAGGAATAGTTTCTACTCCTTTGATAATAAGACCCATATTGAACATTTCAAGCCCAAAAGACTTGCCGGCTTTTCTATACAACAAATAAAGGGACAGCTGGGCGCCAAGGCGACAGCCTATTTTGGTGACACTGTTTCATTTTTGGGAAAGAGAAAGGTCTCTTGGGAATGAAGTAAAAGATGGGAAAGCATGAGAGTCTCTTTAGTGCTCTTAGTGTCACTCGAATATGCATGAGATTCATAATCCATAGAGGCAATAACATAGCAAAAACCTTCCTAACGAGAGAATTTTACAAAAATCATCCGTTCATAATGGTTTTGAGATCGAGCAACCAATGTCTCTGATCTTTGTCAATGTCCCTAGATTACCTCTAACCTCTCAGTGATCATCATACCAGAATTTATAAACAAACCGTGCATCTTCCAGACATATAATTTTGCAAAAGGTCTTATACTCTTCATTACTTAGGAAGTGATAAACGAAAAAACTCCTGGTTCAGATACTTCGTAATGGGAAACAGCATACCTGAAGCAATTCCAGCAGCTGCACCAGCTGCAATAAGAGCTATTCTTCTTTCCCGGTTGTTTTCCATCATCACTGAGCATCCATAGGCACATGACTTCCCAATATCTACACTAGGGCCTTCAGGACCCAAAGAACAACCAGTACCTAGAGTTATAGCAGCCTGAATGGCCTTCACTGTAGGGAAGATTCCAGCAATCAAATCAAATCCTTGTCCCTGAGAAGAACTGGACTGTGTTATTTGGTCCAATATTTCAAGCAGACCATGCAGCATGCCAACAATGACTCCACCCAGAACTGGTATTAAAAGTATCCGGTGCCAAGTATCAGCTAGTCTTTGCAAACGAAGCCAAGCAGCACCATCGTTAGGAGTACCAGCCCACGCCCACTCGTGTATTACGTGTACCTAAACAAATATCCTCGTTGTCATCCAAAACAAGAAACGATACTGTTCAAAGTAACTCTCTAAATGCAACACCTTTAATCAACAAAGAAAATGGTCGGATAAACTTGCAAGTCACAAAATCAGTCCCGCTACATGCATATTCCCTCATTAAAACACACGCATACAGAAGAACTGCGGCTACTCATTAACTTTAGATCTATACTGTGGAAACCCTACAACCCCAGGAAAGAGACTTAAGCAAATAAATAAGAGGAATATCTTTAAATATAACATGCAGATTTCCGAATGCAACAGCATTTTGCTGTTCCCAATGTCCATAATTTTTAGCTTTCAGATTTTGGTACTAAATAAGAACCCTAATGTGCTTTAGAAGATAAACTATATAGTATTGGACTGATACACGCCAGAATAGAGTATAACGGTCCCCATTGGAGGTTAAATTTCTCATATTTGTCCAGTTATTGGAGGCAAAAATAAGTTCATTATAAGCCAACCGAAGAAAGGAATAAAAAGCTATAAAATTTTGAAAGAAAAGCTGAAACTAACCCCGCGGTTAAAGGCGGCAACACAAAGGCCAGTAGCAAGGCCAAGGAGACATCCAACAAGCAACATCGCCCATTCCGGCGGAGCACTATCGCCGAGAATTTCATCCGAAACACCGCGATTAGAAGAAGGAGAAGACGACGAGTTTTGGTCCCTATCTGATCGCTTTATATCACATGATCGCCGACCCGAAAAACCTCGATCCAACCGCTTTAATAGATCCTTAAAGCTTCTGGTATTCGTTCTCCTCGGCGACTGGCTTTCTAAATCGCCTTCTGACGCCGATGAAGTAGAACGTAATAAAACGTTGTGATCGTACTCGCCTCCCGACATATTCTCGATTTTTTCAAAGGAGAATTACCTGCGATTCCACGGCATGCATTCCGAAGAATTGGGTGTTTAGAGAACTCCTATATTTTTGGGGCTCTGTAGGTAACTTGTCGCCGTCGCTATCAGAGTCGGGTTTTAGACTACTAACGACGGGAAGTGGAAAACTGCGGTTTAATCCCACAAATATTCCAATCATCGAACAAGAAAGTTTGGTACTCCTACTAATTTTTTTTTTCTTTATTTTTGGGCGTAATAAACATTGTGCCCCGACTACCAAAAAATTGCACATGTGGCATTTTTTTAAAAAAAATAAAATTGCATGGGGCATCCTATTTGGTCGCCTTCATTTAATTTATACTTATTTTTTAAAAAAACTTTTAACTTGTACCCCTTTTTAAACAACTTCAGCTCCTTTCTCCTCTTCCTCCTCCTTCTCCCAGTGATCTCCATATCTCTCCGAAACTTAACATTGATGTAACAATACTGTGGCTTCACTCAATTCCTCAGAAGTCATCTTACTATACATAATTATGATAATTGTAACGTAAGAAAACCTTTTTGTGATATGGTTGATGTAACTCAAAATATTTTTTTACGTCATTAGTTCAAATCTCAAATATAATTTTGCATTTCTTTGAATCTCCTTGACACCGTCTCCATCGTCGAGATGCTATGGTCAAGCAGAACCATAATGTGTTTCTCGACGTTTCGATCCAGAATAAATTAATGAAGCCATCTCCTTACTTAGAATACGAAATTTGAAAGGTCAATCTTCCTCCCCAAAAAATAGAAACTTCAGGAGTACATACTCTAAGGGTTTTAAAAACTTCAGCTCTAGAGTTGAAGTTCGCCAGTTACAAACAAAAACTTCAGCTCTAGAGCTGAATTTCGCTAGTTACAAACAAAAACTTCAGCTCTAGAGCTGAAGTGCGACAGTTACAAAATAAAAACTTCAGCTCTAGAGCTGAAGTGCGACAGTTACAAAATAAAAACTTCAGCTCTAGAGCTGAAGTTCGCCAGTTACAAACAAAAAACTTCAGGTCTAGAGATGAAGTTCGCTAGTTACAAAACAAAAACTTTAGCTCTAGAACTGAAGTTTGCCAGTTACAAAAACAAAACTTCAGCTCTAGAGCTGAAGTTCGCCAGTTACAAAACAAAAACTTCAGCTCTGGAGCTGAACTTCAGGCCCAGCTACTAGAATACTGAAGTTTTGCATGATTGCCTTTGCTACTTTAGCCTCGTATGCTGAAGTTATGCGAAAAAGCGGGTACGCTTGTAATTTTTTTGCAAAATGGGCACAAGTTAAAGCGTGACACAAAAAGCAGGTATAGATGCAAATGCCCCCTTTTTTTAGGCAACTCTTCAATTTTTGTCAATATTTCGAAAGAAATATATATAATCTCCAGTTTGCATATAGTTTTATTTAAATGTTTCAACTTATGTGTTTACCTTTAAAATTATATAACAATTAAACTTATAAGTGGTTTTAAGGATACGCGATTTTACTTAGTACAAACTGAGAAATATGAGAATTAATGTTAGAAATTAACTGTAAAATAAAATAAACCAATATAATGAGCGAATATGGCCTTCGAGCTAGATCGCCCTCGAACCAGCAGAGTATGCTAAAAAGAGTATGAACCAAACAACAGAGCTTAAGAGAGAAATTTTTAATATATTACTTTGTTATGCGTGAATAAGATGTTTACAAAATGATTAGAATCCCCTTTATACAGTAGAGGAGTTCCACTTATGGTACAATTCTGAATATAGAAGGAAATCCCATGATTGGCTAAATGTCCGACCTTGACTTGATACGTGTCAAGATTTCCGCCACGATTCTTGCCCGATCACGGATATCTCGGCTTTCTGTTATTCGACTTTAGCGGACCTTCTTCGATCTCTACCCGGTTCGGTCTCGATCATGGCTGGTCTCGTTCTTGATCGATCACCGATTAATGAGCTTAGCAACCCATCTCTGTGCCATGGTTCGATACAATGTGGGGCCAAGCTTTGATATGCCACCCTGTTTCGATTAGCCGTCCAAAATTAAGGAAGCCCGATTTTAACCGTATACATTATATAAATCTATTCTTTAACATGTTCCTCATCTTAAATGAAGGAGGAATATAAAGTTGAAATAATTTATGGGTGTATCATTTATACTCCAACTTTGCTTTAGTTTTTTAAAACATTGGTTAGTACTTTTTTAAAATTTTTTTTTTGGTTATGTACACCTTTATCGCGGTCTTTTGTCTAGAATCAAGTGATTTCATTTCTAATGTTAAATCTAAAAGCATTCTTATATATATTAGAGTACTATCTTTTTACCTTATCTGGTTCTAGTTGAAATGTGTTTCTTGCTTTAGTTTTTTTAATTCTAGAATATTCAGACATGTCTAAAGTTGTATTTAAATGGATCAGAGAAATTTCCTAATAATGCAAAGCGCGAACAATATTCATAATTTCAGGACGATTATGGACTTGTGATATCAGAATTGCTTGGGATGACTTTCCATCTCTATACCATGAGATACTCTTTACAAGATGATATTTGTCTCCATAATGGAGAGGTACTAGCTACTGCTCCAGCTTTTATAGTCAACTAGCATTAGAACTCGCGCACTGCGCATTCAATATTAAAGAATATTTATTATTTTAAATTACAATTTATAGTTTTATTATATTATATTATGCTGTGTCAATAAAATTTCAATTGGCATCTTACTTTTCAATACAATATTTCATTAAATAAACTATATGAAATTAAAGAAAAATGAATTACATAATCATCGTATAACATTTTGTTTCTTATTTTATTTATTATTTAGTATTATTAAATTATTAATATGACATTTTATTAGCGTGCCACTTGCCTTAATATCAATGTTCACTATTACTTCTTAGAAAAATTATTTTTAAAATTTTATCTTATTATTCGCAATTCTTCAATTTTCTAAATTTGTCAATAATATATTTGTGTATTATTTACGTAATTTATTTATTATTTTAAATTAATTCAAAGTTAAATATCCTCTATTATCTTTATTTTCTTTTTGTGCATTTTTTTGTAATATTATAATTAATTATCTTCATTTTGAATTTCACATATAATCGAAATACCATAATATTTAAATCAAATTATAATTTTGACTTTTTAAAAAAATATATACAAATAACTAATTTTACTATGTTGTCATAAATCTGTTGATATTCTTAATAATTACTATTTTTGCATTACTTGCTATAAGAAAATAAACTTTTCTTGTATCTCAATTCTAATATTTCTATGTGTAAATACGAAATAATAATTTATTTTTATATTTGACTTCAAATTATTTTCTTTATCATAAAATATTGGCAGTTTGAATTGGAAACTTTTTACAGGTATAGACTATCATAGGGGCAAGAAACTACCCTCCAATTTGAATTGTCAAATTTTTATTTTATTTTTGTTTTATTTTTTAAATAATTTTAAAACTTCAACTTTATTGGAGCTTTATTTTATTTTATTTTTTTACAATTCTTTAATTTTCTAAATTTATCAATTATATATTTGTGTATTATATACTTAATTTATTTTATCTTCTAAATTAATTAAAATTTAAAATATCCTTATATTATCTCTATTTCATCTTTGTACATTTTTGTGTAATATTATAATTAATTCTTTTTCATTTTGAATTTCACATATAATCGAAATACTATCATATTTAAATTTATTTATAATTTTTATTTTTTTTTAAAAATATATACAAATAAATAATTTTACTATTTTGTCATAAATTTACTGATATTCTTAATTTGATATTTTTACATTATATGATATAAGTAAATAAACTTTTCTTCTATCTCAACTCTAATATTTCTATTTGTAAATTCGAAATAATACTTAAAGAATTGTGAAAAATAAAATAAAATTATACTCCTACAAAGTTGGATTTTTAATTATTTTTTTAAAAAAATTTCAATTCAAATTAGGAAGTAGTTTCTTCCAAATATGGTAGTCTATATTTATAATGTCAATCCAAACTTTCAATATTTTTTTGATGAAGAAAATAATTTGTATTTGAATACTAAGATAAAGATATTATTTTACATTTATAAATAGAAATATTTAAATTAAGATAATTTTTTTTATTTTCTTATGGCAAATAATACAAAAATAGCGATAATTAATAATATCAGTCAATTTCTGATAAAATAGTAAAATAGTGATTTCTTTATATTTTGAAAAAAAGTTCAATACTACAATTTGATTCTATGGTAATATTTTGATTGTATGTAAAATTTTAAGTGAAGAAAACTAATTATAATATTACAGTAGAAACAATATACATAAGATAAAAATAGAGATAATATGAGGATATTGCAACATTGAATTAATTTAGAAAAATAAAATAAATTAAGTATATAATACCCAAAGATATAATTGATAAATTTAGAAAATTAAAGAATTTTAAAAATAAAATAAAATTAAGCTTTAATAAAGTTGAAGTTTTAAAATTATTTAAAACATTTGATAAAAATAAATAAAATAATAAACTGCCAATTCAAAGTGGGATGTAGTTTCTTCCCTCTATGACAGTCTACCCTAGGGTAGAGAGACTGTTTCCAAATAGACCCCCGGCATCTTTCCCTCCAAGAACTTCCCACCTTGCTCTTGGGGAGACTCGAACTCACAACCTCTCAATTGGAAGTGGAGGTTGTTTACCATCAGAGCAACCCCTCTTGTCAATACCTATAAAAGTTTATACCTATAAAAATTGCCAATTCAAACTGCCAATATTTTTCTGATAAAGAAAATAATTTGAATTCGAATTTAAAGATAAAAGTTTCAATTATATATTTCTGTATTATTTACTTATTTTATTTTATTTTTCTAAATCAATTCAATGTTATAATATCCTCATATCATCTCTATTTTCATATGTGTACATTTATTTATTCTAATATTGTAATTAGTTTTATTTATTTTGAATTTACTTATAATTGAAATACAATTATATTTAAATCAAATTGTAATTTTGATTTTTTTAAAATATAAATAGATAAGTATTTTACTATTTTGTTATAAATCTATTGATATTCTTAATTATTGCTATGTTAGATTACTTTCCATAAACATATGAACTTTTATTTTGTGTCAACTCAAATATTTTTATCTATAAATTCGAAATAATTCTTTTTTAAAATTCAAAATCAAATTATTTACT